ATTGCGCTATATAAATTGCTATCTGTTAGAAAGCTTTTTACTCATTTAATTAATGATTATGTCTGATTAAATAAAATATGTGCCGTTGTGCCCTGTGTGTGAGCTCAAACTCTTGTGTAATTTATAAATGACAGCTTTTCGCCCACTTGCGGATCGTTTTGCAGGCTTATTGTACGTGTATTCTCGAAGTTGATTTTCGGTAGCTATCATTCTACTAAATTTTCCACATTTCTACTGGCCTGAGAAAACCTTTTTAGGCCTGCTGCCGGAAAGCTTTGCCCGTTTCGGCTACAATAAGTTTGAACAAGTATACGTATATATTTGTCTCGCTCTTTTTGTCGCTGCCTAGTAGATTAACTAAAACGAAGATGCTGCATGTCAGACGCGATCGCGTACCCATACTTGTTTATACAGTTCATTTACGTCGTTGCATTTTGCATGAATTCCAACAAGGAAAAAATGCTGCAAAATGTTGTGTGAAGAAATTTGTGAAAAGTGTGAAGACTTTTTGAAAAAATTCAAATAGGTGACGGTTCGACCGATCTGATAAGCCGCGCTCTAGGCGAACATCTTTGATCGCCGACAATACTGTGAAGACAACTACAATTTGATTTTATTCTAAAAACGTAAAGAACTCCTCGGTAAATATATCACGTAAGGGAAAAGGATTCTGTATGAGAGATACATGCATAAGGTTAAGGAAATTGTTTCCCAAGGGATGGTTTTAGAGCTGCGCAACTGTGACGATATTAACTTATTCAAGCCATACTCTAACCATATTGGGAAAAATTTTCAAACAAATTCGCTGCATTTCAAAATTTCGCTTCCACTAAGGCGATAAAATTTCACAGATTTGCGATAGAATCTTTCCGCTCATGATGAAAATGCTTTATTAAAAGCAGTTGCATGGAAATCGTAATTCGTGCTTTCCCGCTCTGCAAATTGCCGTTTTTAAGATGCGTCGCTCTCTGATCATACAGTCGTTGATAAAATCGATAACACTTTTCAAAAATTTGGAAAGCTCAGGACATTCCATCTTCTCGCGACATCAATGCTGCAAAGTTATATTTGGCTGGGGTAGAATCTCGCGTACTCGCCATCATTTAACTCTTTGGCGCTCCATGCTTTTTATTTACTGTCATAAACAAGTGAATGGAGTAAAATTTATCTTTCGCTTTTTACCTCACTACAAGGTGTTGTTAAGAGAAATAATCTTAATACACTCAGCTTTTTGCATTCTAATCTCCAAGTGCTTTTATTTGATGCCCATATCGCTGGCTTAGTACTAAGAAAAAATTAGTCCACCAGACCGTGGTGTTCGCGATATCTATTTTAGAATGGACGCGTTTTTGCGTGCAGGTAATATCTGTTCCTTTGAAGAATGTACGAAATAGTTTTAAGCATTCTGTCTTGTTGTCTACTTTATCACTAATAAGCATAAAATCTTGAAAATGTGAAAAAAAAGAAAATTTAATCACTTGTAGCTTTGCCTGGACATTGCCAATTTATTCCATTTGGCATATAAATAGTAGAAGCTTTCGTCGAGCGCAAATGTGAAAAATTTCAGTATTTTATCTTTTATAATTTGTGAGTAGTGGGCAAAAAGCCACAAATTCTCCTTTAGAAAAAGTGAGTTGCGTTCAGCTTACGGTCCATTACTTGTGCTGTGGCCAATTTTTCCCATTTTCAATACCAACCTGTGTGCAAAAGTTTCCAATGTTTCGATCAAATTTGAAGTCGATAACTTTATTTTTGCGACCAAGAGACCGGCAACAACATATGGACGTACAGACGGACAGACGATTCACAATTGTACGCTGATCAAGAATTTATATATTTTACCGGACCTATAAAGCTGCCTTTTTAGTGTTGCAAACATTGTGACGAGATGTGTGCAGTACACTTCATCCATCAGTGATGCGTATAAAAACACGCTCGCGCCATATGAATATTTCATGGATTATGAGTGAAAATTTTAATGTACCGAATAAGGAGAAAAATAACGGTCGATGCCACGTATGTCGACACGAGACAACAATAACGGGCAGAATAATCGTAGTCCAAGGTGGATGTGGCTGCACACTGTACTGCTTTGCTGCGCGTAGAACAATTGTAAGGGAGTGGAGCATTACAAGTTCCTCCAAACTGGACAGACGCTTGATTCCATTCTCTTATGTCAACAACTAAAACGAATCAAAAAAATCCAGAGTTGATCACAATAGGGAAGGAAGTGGGAAGAATCCGTGTTCCTAATTCCCGATGACTTCTTCTCTGGAAGTCCTATTTTGAGTGGAACGTGTCTTGTGCAAAGAAAATACGAAAGCTGTCTAAAGCAATTGAAAATGTTAGAAGTGCAAAGCCTAAAGAAAGAACAGACAAGAAAGTACTAAAAAAAGACATATATATATATATATATATATATTTATATCTTAGATATCAACACATTAATGTAATATGTTCGTAGTGTAAATATTATTCAAGCAGCAAACATTCAAGAGTACAAAATATTGAAAAGTTGTGTCCCTATGTTTTCCGTAATAAAGTATATCGTGTGTACATAAACCCATTGTATAGTCGTGGTATAGCTGCTTAGTTAAAAAAAGAAAAAACGAAAATTTTTATTTTTGAATTTTTTTATTTTTAACTTAGTTTTGTCAAGTTGTAATTTTTAAAATAAACTTTTTCTTTGCCATTCGCTAAGAAATTATATGTTTTACCCATAGACGGTTTGTTGTTGTGTTAAATACGTTTTTTTTTTTTTATCGAACTATTTGTATTTATTTATTTATTTATTTATTTGTTTTTTTTTTTTTAATATCACTACTACTATTACTATTATTACTTCCACTACTCCTACTACCTTCGTTAATCTCTCACATAATTTTCAGTTAATTTTGCGTAGCTTAAGATGATATTAATGAATCATATCGTGAACATGTTGCTAAATCAACGACTTCGTGGCAGAAGTGTCGTTAAAAAGCTTTCTAAAGTCGAATTATTTTTATTGATCTAAATATTTTATAAAGCTGGGATTTTTTCGAGTTTATTTCAGTTTTTGGACGGGCGAGATCGGGAGGATGCAACGAATTGCGTTAATACTGATATTTTAAGAGCGTTCAATCTTGTCGCATTTTCATGTTTGATCAGCCGATACGGTGGGGCCTGATCTTACCCAATTGATTGGTAGTCGCTCTTCAACGTTTCGTAACACACTAAACTTGCCGGTTCCTGGTAAATGGCATGGCATTATTTGCTTTCTCAAATGAATTCGTTTTTAATATCGATAGTTCACGTGAATGAAATCATGACCTCTTAGATGAGATTGTGATGACAACAAAAACGTATACGTACGCATATAGAGCGCATTTGGTTATATATTTTATTTCTCAAAGTGAAAGTTATTTCCGATGCAGGTCTGAGTCGACTAAACAATTGATTTAATCGACACGGAGGACCGGGGAAAAAAGACTCCTGAAGATAAAAATCTCTGAAATGTTCGAAGGTAACACTTGACACTTTCATTATAATCCTATTTCAGTTTCACAGATCAAATATACATATTGATTGGAATTATTAGTAGTAAAGGTTAAAATACTGAAAAAAGGAAAAACTTATATATTTGCGATCAACAATTAGAGGTAATCTACATGGACTTACTTATGAACTCATCATTACTTGAGCGATTCTTAAGTCATATATAGATTCTCTTTATGGGTATTTAAGGTTCACTTCATGAGGAGTGGAACTTACATAGATGATTTGGGTCAACAATCCCTGACCAAGGAGTGACACATAGCTGTCGTTTCTAATAATTCTAGACTGTTCTAACTATTGTTATTATAGAGCGCCAACCGTCAAACGATGTTTGTTAAAATTTCATGTTTTTTCGATAATTTCCATACGAGCGCTTTAGCGGTTTTCGAAAATTTGGTTTTATTATTTTCAAAAAAAATGGAAAAATCAGGATTCAGGATAGTTCGCTAATTGTAAACGAGGTCGTATCAATACCGATGACATTGCAAACTTTGGACGCGGAAAAGGAGTGGTCAGTGGCTTCAATGGGAAAATTGCATGAATTAAAGTTTGAATTGATGTTCGCACCTCTGAAAAGAGAGGGATGTCCCAGGAAAAAGGTCCAAACATTAGGACCTTTCAGAGAACTGAAGAGTGCTTAATCGTCGAAATGTTAGAGAAGCGTTAGATTGATTCCATTGCTCTTAAAACAGGCTACGTTGACGAACAAGCTCCGAATATGATTTTCTCCTCCTTAATTCCGAGACCTGTTCATCGGTATGTTTATGTGTACGTTCGAAGAAAATCTTTTATATATTTTGATTACGCCTTTTGGCAAATATTTTTAAAATTTTCACGTTTTTCAAAAATAAAATAAAATATTTGCAGTTTTTTTTTTTTTTTTTTT